GAAAAAAAACTAAACCTTAATACAATCATTTTTCTGTTACAGGTATGTTCTATACATTAGTTTTTAATAAATGCCGTGAAAAAATTCTTAACTGAAAGTTGGGATAAAAAATATAGCAGTGCGGTCATTTTGACCGGTCGCGGGCGTTCTAGGTATAACGGCGGAGCGGTCTTTCTAGTGTTAAGGTGACGTTTCAGACTCTTTTGCTGATACTTTGTCACAGCTGGAAATGTCATCCTTTAATCTCTACGTCGGGAAATGCAAATCTCACAGCGTTAATAGAAGTCTTCCAAAAATCGACTAACATCTTTCTTCGCATCAAATCCCGTAACAGTAGTTACACTACTTCAAACTTTCTCGTATAGGTCTACGCAGCTTTTTTCTGCAACTAGATGTAAATGCAAGGTTCGTTAACTGTTACCTACCTTGGCGTACCACATACTGTTGATAAAACATATTGGGAACTTTTCAAAAGTGCCGTCTCCTTATCATTGTATTTGTGCACAATGCAAGTATAAGTTGATGGAAATTGGGTGTTGCCCGCTTGAAAACACTGCACAACCACGACGCGTTTCGATGTTATTTCATCTCATCACACAACGTTTAGTCCAAAATTGACCAAGAGTAAGTTTTACCATCTAACACGTGAATCCTTTCTGGATCATCCACACCTGCATCATGTAGAATTAGCTCGGAGTATTGCTCAGGAATAGGGAAATTTGCGCCTGTTGGACAAGGCAAATGACCACTTTTTCGGTAACTCAGACGAGTTCTTTCCAATGGATGCTTGTTTGGACATGTGGGCCAGTGCTTCACTACTCAGTGCAGTCAACCCATTTTCCATAACATTTCCTGGTCACGCCCTGACTACTCTCATGTCCAGTTTCATTTGACTTCGTGCAGCATTGGCTTCCGCTGTTTGAGGATATGAGTCATGACATTGCGCAGTCGGCTGTTACAAGATTATGCTGTCTTGGGTCTTTCTTAGTGGGTGACAGTTGACACCTCGGTTTTGCCTGCATCTCTAAACTACCACTCCTTCTGTAGTGCGGAAAGCGAGATATTCGAACCCCAACCATGTTAAAACTAGGTTGCTCTTCTGGCTTCTGGAGTACTCCATGCGTAACAATGCAACAAGAACCGGCGACGTGTGTCACAGTCCACTTAGCAAATCGCCTACTCGCGTCAACCGTTTACATATTACTGATGGTTAAAATCGGTTACGTAGCAGCGTCATTGACCAAGCACTGGCGATCAGAGGTCATTTGGTGCTCTGCTGCCGCGGTCACTTACCTCATCATGGCTAGGCGATAGTAGCGACGAACTCTATCTGCTTACATGGAGTGGGTTTCACCCGCAATCTCGTTGCGGCTTCCCCAAACTGAAGTTTGCGAACAGTGCTCAGTCTGTTGCCTGTGGTTTATGTATCATACCCTATTGCGGGTGTACAGCCTTTGCGCCTGTGCTAGGCTCAATGAGCGGTTCCATCTAGCATGTGATGTTCGGTACGCGGCTGATTCGCAATTTTGACGGGAATGCTGTGCATGATGAATAATTGTGTGCCGGCCCTGTTGATGAATCGCCGGCCCGTAGCCTAAAGGTAACGAGCTTGTCTTGTAATTTGGCGACGCCGGTTCCAACCTGCCTAGAGACCGGGCGACCCCCACAATATCCTTACCCGACGTTCAACCGGCGGTGATTGTGCGGCAGCCAAGCGTCGGTACTGCGTACCTGCGTACTTCTGATGCTTTTGCCTTTAATGAATCGTGACTACCATTCACTTGTGTTTACATTGGATATGGTATGTTTGGATGGGCAGTGCAGCGCAAGCCAATCCTTCTCCATCTATCATTAGGCGCAGGTCTCCTGTGGCTGTCCACACGCAGGACACAGTAAAATGCCGAACCGAGAACGGACGCTGTTTTAGACATGCATGTGCGGTCATAGTTGTCCATTCGTACAGTTTTAATATTATTATGAGGTCAACAATTTTGTGGATTTTGTTGATTAATTTTGTACCATCAATATGAATCAACCTTTGCCTGTATTCTTAGGGCCATTGCTAACATATTTATGCCCTAGGCTAAGGTGCGTTATACCGTAATGGTTGGGCTTGTTAAACTACTAAACAGGCATGTGTAAAGATGAAAAATAGAGCTCACTCTGAACATCGGACTAAGCGTTGAAACTGTGTCCAATTATCCCCCACCCCGGGATGCAACGTTATATGGGCAGCTGTGGTGTGATGTATATTCCGTTTCCGTAGATAAGTCTTATTGTCTCGTTGTCACGACCAGAAAGAGGTCCGGTAGATTTTTTGCGAGGTGTACTCCTAATGTGAGTTTTACGTAAAGTGCGTAAATAATATGATCATATGTGACCATGTTACCAGATTGCTAAAATGTGCTTACTTTTAGTGTGCATAATCTTCACTCTGCGCACCATTCGGTCTGCGTTTTATGTCCGTGCGCAACTTTCGTGTGCGGTTTCTTCTGGTCACCGGACCAGAGACCTGGACAGTTCGCGGTGAAGACACCAAACGCTTGGCCGTGTTTGACCACCGGTCTTTGCGGAGTATTGCTCACGTCTGGTGAGAACACGGGGTGAGCAGTACTGTGATCCGCCAGTTGGTTTTCGACACAAAGCCTTCTGGATCCCCACTCTAGTGTTTGTTCAGACTTAATCGCTTACGTGAGCTAGGTCATGTCCACCGTATGTCCGTTGATCAACATATTCGACATGCAGGATACACCGTCGCCGCACCAAGTTGGGCGAAAGCGCGTGGTGGCCCATCCATAACGTGGCATAGAGGCATGAAGAAATTGACTTAGACTTGGTCACGTGGGTGCGTGCCGTCTTCTTGGATGTGGGCCACGGATGATCCATACCAATGATCGGAGACCCTTTCAGAAATGGTCCGGTTACCTAATATCAGTGGTGTTTGTGCATCTGACTGTTAAATTTCATTCCACCCTGATTGGTTTAACGTGCGTCCTTAATTCCAGTTTCTTTGTACTCTTTGCGTTCAAATTCATTTTCTTGCCGTTGTCATTTAATTTTACTGGATCCGTCACACTTCCGTGTTCGGATGGTAATTGTTCAACTGTGCTGAATTATCATGCTTTGCTTCTTGCATTTTTGACTGCCATCTGCTTGAGTTGTATTGCAGGACTACAGCCGGAGTGTTTCTCATCCGTGGCTACCGTGTAACATGATGCATAGTGATAGCATTGTAATGTAACTGCGATGCTTGGCTTTACCGACTTGTGACAAAGAGTTTTTGGTATTAATTTTTCGTTTTTTGTTGTTGTTGCTTTTACTTATAAATAAATAAGGAGTTTAATCCCGAAGTGCACGAGATACACTTAAACGGACACGATCAGTTAATTACAGCATTTTCGATGTGGATAAAGTGTTGTTTGTTCATCCTGAAAACACCGATAACTAATGATGATTAGCTGGGAGTGCCCAAATTAAATAAGTTGAGTGAAGCGTGCTTGGAATAGTCTGCAAAATTTACAGGAGTTAGATAGCATTGGCAAGCAGGATTGTATGATTAAAGTTGCGCTTCAAAACCAGTACTGAATTGCCCGCAGTAACATAAGTGTCGTAGCAACAAGTTCGTCAACTGGATTGGTGTCTCGATTAAAAGAAAACTTGAGATGGGCCAGAATCCTCACCTGCTTGGTCGGCTAAATTGTGGCATATTGTAGGATTGGGACAGTAGAACAAACTCGTGCCCAAATCGAAGACCTCTTGCTATAAAATATTGGGGATCTTCCTAAGCCGACAGGATGGTAGGTCCTCTATATTCAAATGAAAGATCCAACTTGAGCGACTGTAAATAGTAAGCTTTGATCCTCTGATTGTAGGTTGAAGATCCTACATGATGTCATTGGGGCAATTCGAGGGAAATCGTAAATGAAAGTGTTCTTCTGGCAACGGTACGAACTAAGCCCAATCGTTAAAACCACAAAGCATGATAACATATCCGTCCTAGATGGCAATGGTAGCAATCTGGGTACCGTAAGTGATAGTATCGACAGGAAAGTCTAACATCCATAGCCAATCAGAATATCCATCACATAGCCTAGATGTAACTAGCTTGTCTCGTAGTGTTGCGGCGCGGATTCGAGCCTGTGTAGGGGTAGGGTGACCCTCGCAGTATCCTTAGCCCACGTGCGACTGGTGGTAGTTGCGCGGCAGCGAAGCGTCGGTGCTGTGTATCGGCGTACTTCTGATGCCTTTCTACATGCAAGTATACTGCCTAGGTTCATAAAGGTAATTCCATATAATTCGTGTGCGAGTGTTCTTGCAGTAAGAAGAGGCAAACCCTATTCTTCGGACCTCAGAAGCGGCTTTGTCCAATTTGGGAACTTGGTTATCCTTGCGATACGGCAAGTTGTAACAATAGTAGGCTAGTCTGCTATCCATGGAAAGTGAATAATTCGTGTGTTTCGAGTGGGCAGGATTTTGGTTTGCTGTTGAAAGTTGTTACCGTATTCACCGGTATTTGGGGCCGATCATTTCGTGTGCCAGTACGTCATCTTTTCACATATCTCGGAAAAACAATGAACAAAGGGCAAAGAAACAGAGGTGCATCGGATACACATTTGAAGCATTGGTAGGCTTATATTTGTAGCATTATTGATGAGTCGCGATATTTCATGTGAGCTTAGTTACTACAGATATTGGATAGCAGTGTACTTACATTGGGTCTCGTGCCTGGAGCATTCTTTGTAAGATCTAGGCTACTGGATCTGCCTGGGGCATGTCTAATTGGCTGGTTATAACAATAGACTACCGTTTCATTAATCTGAGTTTTTTATGCGTACTCTCAAGGAGGGATGCTTTTGAGTTCGAATTCCCGTTTACTTTCACTTTCTCGGGAGCAGCGCTCGGTCCGTACGCCATCCTGTGTATGAGTGAAGTAACTACATGATGTTTACGCACTGACACTTCTCTAGCCTTCACCGGAACGTCATCCGGTTGTTGCATATATGTTCGTGTATGCGGAACACTTGAGTGTCTCCCACTTTACCACTTTGTCTACCCTCCATCTCCACGTAGCGGTACAGCTTCGTTGGATCGAAGCCTACTTTCCATTCACCCATCCGTCTTGGGAACTGGAAGTGAAGACGAAGGTTGGCTACACCGGAGATGGCGTGGAGGAGTGGACCGAGCTCCTTGGTTGCGGCATCCTGAGACAAGAGATCTTGGAACGCGGTAAGTGTCCTCGCACGCATACACATTTGGCTTTCGTGATTAATCCAACACGCAAAGCACCGTTTCACTCCAATTTCCATTCTTACCTCCCTCTTACTCGACAGCTGGTGTTTGCAACAAAGTTGGCTACGCTTTCGGCTTGGGCTTAGAGAGGTGGGCAATGAAATTATATCAAATTCCGGATATTCGACTATTCTGGACGCAGGACTCCGGTTTTCTGCACCAGTTTGTTACCGATAATATTCACGCTAATATAGTTTACAAGGTGTGTTTACTCGTACGCCTGTTGTCATGTATTCTCGTTATTCTGTGACAAAGTGGCTTGTATGTACAAATCATGCTGCATTAGCACGTTTTATTTTAGCGACTGATGCATTTAATTCTAACATTGGCTGGCCAAGTCGTGGGGTTTGTTGAGCAGCCACGGTAAGTCTTCGAAATAACGTCGACCTTGTCTTATGTGTATTAACTCAATACCGATCGCAGAAACAGTGGAGCGCCTACTCGAGTGCAAGAATACCGAAACTAGCGAGCAAGTAGACATACGTCTGTGTTTCTCCATTGTAGTCAGATCAGGCACGTGTGCGGGATGAGGTCACTGATTCCTGCTCGTTTGCAACCTATTACAGCTACGCCATCTGCTAATCGGACGCGATGCGCTCCCTGAATCTGAAACTCTCAAAGTGGACCTATAGGAATTGCTTGAATCTCGACACCGATTTTTGCCTCCACCATTCTCTCGGGCACTGCGAGATTGTACCGGTGTCCGCCATCACTGCTTGGTGCACGCACGTGTAGTAGCGCTCTTAATTTGACAAGAGTAGTCGTATGAGCATTGTGAGTCAGAGGCGCATGATCCGTGTTTGTAAAAAGTGTTCCCCTTCGAATCATCGTTATCTGATTATTATTGTCTCACAGCGCTCCTTAACCTAACTTACTTATGATGGCTATTTCTCCCTCTTGCCTACCAATCGCGTAGTTCACTGTGCATCGTTTATCTTCGTCGCGCCTGACTAAGATAGGCCGCAAACTTGACAAACGATGTAGGGGAAACGACACATTGAGGTGCCATCAAAAAATATGTCGCGCCATCTTCTTGAAAATGCGAATCTCGGGATTGACCTGCTGCCGCAATAGTTGGTTACTCTGTGCGATATGTCACAACTGAGTACTTAGTGACTTGTCATCGGTTCATCGCTGTACATCGAACACCACCGTAGCTTTTATTTTGTGTGTTGAAGGATGCTTCCCACTTGGAACGGATTATGAACGAATCTCGTTTGTTTCACCATTAAGATAGCTAAGAAACGCGGATATTATGAGGTAGCGGCTTGGAACAAGATGGTGGCAGGTTGGCCGCATGTTTCTTCGTCGAATCTCACAAGAGCTCACAAGGTGTTGTGCCATTACCAGTGGAGTTTGTTGTGGGGCTACCAAACGCTCACTTTTGTATTGGCAGAGGAGTACAAAAGAAATGATAGATAAATTTTGTTCACCACCAGCCTCCATATGAATCCGGCATTCGAGCACGGACCACTTGGTTACCTGCAACCTTCGGTCATCGTGGCGGTTTTGGCGATTCAAGAAGATTTTCTTAGCCTCCGTATAGCCATGTAAGATCTAATTGGGTACCCTGAGTATCTCAAAATCACTCGAAGATCTGTTATTCGGTCGCAGAATTGAAGTGGAAAAAGAACGCAGTATAACTCTAGGGCGCCCATCTTGTCATAGAGGGCTCAAACGATAGCTTGCCATGGAGTTTTACCTGCCACGAAAATCACAACATAATGACTTTAGAAAGTAGTTTCCATGTACAGACAGCATTACAAGCTGGCACGATCAGCCGAATCGAAAGTGGCTTTCAGGCCAAGAAGAACCACCATAGTCGGTCGCCTGTGAGTGTGTTGCTGCCCAACTACTTAAGGAAGGAATCTAACGTGGCTCTCCCGAAGACCAGTAAGTCGTCGAAGAATGATACCCATGGGAAGTGTGGGAGCAATGGAGGTGAGGCCAATGTCTCCATGATTTTCGCACAATGTCCATTGACCCTGCTTGCAGACGAACGCGACAGTTGACAATTGCCAGTCTGAAGACACCTCTTCTGTGTCCCGAATAATGTTGCACAGAACAGCTAGTTCAGTCGATAAAGAGTTACCATCTTCCAGGAAACATGGAGGAGCGTCATCTGGTGCATGAACCTTGTTTCGTGTCAACACAACCAGTTCATATTGAATGTCTTCCAAAGTGGGAAGTGTGACGTCAACTTCTCAGATGGACTCTCATGATTCAGAAAGTGTCGGTGTCACAGTAAACTTGTTTAATTACCATGCAAAATATCTACTCCAACGGGCTAGTCTACTTTGCTGAGAATGGATTAACTTTCCATCTTTCTCAGCTGTTGTCTTACTGGCATGGTTTTCTTGAGCCCGTGTTTCTTATGAATCGGCATAAAACTTGGCTGTTCATATAGCGCTGAATTTCTCACTCTCGCGGACCGTCATCACTCGCCAATACTTTTTATCAATCCTAAGACTTCTAATTGGGCGTCGTTTGGGGATACCAATGAAACCGACCTAGTGCTTCAACTAAACTAATCGACGCTTTATATATCTATCCACAGTCCGGAATTCTGAACTTGCGTGAATAGGAGGAAAGTTGGAGGCAATCCCAGCTGGCATTCGGCTTATGCGCCTTGCTCGTCAGTTGCGATTGATAGGCCAGTTCGTGGTGGTACTGCGGACTTTCGCTTTGTGAGTTCAGATTGCATGTAAAATGCTTAGACTTTTGTCGCTTCATTAAAACCGGAATAGTGAGTGTCATGCACGCACACAATGTAGCATGATGATAATACAAGCTGTACTCCAAAGTCACCTAGAATCCTCACCTGATATATGCCATTTGTAACTGATGGCAGCACGGCAATTTTGGGTGCATGCCGTCGTGGATTTCGATGCCGATATGTTAATGTTTATGTCTGAAAGCAGTGCTGTCGATATAACGCTTGTGGTCAGTTAATAGTTGCAGCAATCGACGGGTATTATGTGCACGGTATGCTTTGGCCCCGAGGCCGCCTCCCAGTTGTTGTTCGGAGTCCGCAAGTGGAACCCCGTGGGCATTTATGCCACCAGCAACACTTGCGATATCTCAGTACCCATTGACACCTGTTTCCGTGCTTCTATCAACCTGATCGATGCCTCAGAGATCCATTCACAGTTACGTCGTCTCAAGTTGGGTGCACAGTACGCGTCGAAAGCATTCTTCATGAGACACTCGAGACGTTTCCCATCAACGTTCGGCTCATTCATTACTGACAATTGGTGAACCAATTCTTCGTGGTATTGTTGAACTGCAGATTGCGAGTTCAAGTTACAAGTGGGATGGTTAGAAGTTATGCGCTTCTTTGAAGTGGGAAGAGTGAACGCCAAGCGTGCGCGCACTAGGGCATGGTCAGAATTCAGGCACTTGCCCCAAATTGCCCGACAGTCTTAGACTGATATGCGCTATCTGTAGCTGCTGGCAATATGGTCACTTTGGCTCCAGGTCATTGAGCCATTCGATGGGAGCTAGATGACGCGGTGTGAGCGCTTGTGATGGAAAGCGGTGCTGCTAAGGTAAGGGTTGTGGTCGGCACACAATTGTAGGAATCGATCAACGTTGCCTGTTTGACCTACATCGACTCCGAAGCGGCCTCCCAGGTGTTATCCAGAGTCTGAAAAACAGCTCATTTGAGCATTCATGTCACCCGAAACAATCACGGTGTCAGTATTCTTCGCCATGCGAAGACGAAATGGGAGCTGTTGATGGAAATTGTCTTTGATACCCTCCGAACTGCAGTCAGTAGGAGCGTAAACGGAGGCGATCAAAAACAGTTTGTCTCCAAACGCTGCTTATTAACCCCACTTATAGGTTTGAAGTCCAACAACACACCTGAGGCTGTTCACTGGCATCTAGTCGAGTAGGGCACCTTCAGCTTGTTTGCTGAGGGTGATACGGACACTGAATATATATATATATATATATATATATATATATATATATATATATATATATATATATATATATATATATTAGTGCCATCCGATTCCAGATTTGCCTGTAACTACGGCCACCATAGGACGTCTGCGCCTACAGAGGGACCATGGGTGGCTTGCGCTGCACCACCCACAGATCCATCCACACATCCCATATCGTGTTCGTTCGAAGGAATAATACCGGGAGTCACGATTCATCAGCGGTGCCGGCCCACACTCCTTCACAGGCAAACACAAGCACGCTGTATTTGGGGAATCAAGCGCACACAAGGCGATGGTTAGGTCGCAGCCCGCTCCATACTGGGTGAAACCATTCTTTGAGGCTTGCACGGTCACGAGGACCGTGCTCCCAGTCCCCCACGGCAACATCCAACTGTCTCCCGGAGACAGTGTAATCGAGGTGCAGGGTAATAGACAGTTAGGCATCTTGTCAACATTCATATCAAGCATAGCCACACCGGGAATGTCAAGCAACAGCCAACCACTCGAAATGACAATGTCAGATGACATAAAGCATACGGATATGCCGACATAACTCTTCGCTAAATTAACATATGAAATAGATGCGTTATCAACACATCTGCAATAACTCATGATGGCAGCAAAAGCGATCAAAAAACATGTAACAGACGCGAAAAAATAACGAAGTTAATCATCTTTTGGTTCAGCGAGCCTGCAAATAAGTAGAAGATTATTCAGGTGGACCTCGAGGTAACAAAATATGCATTAAGACAATATTGCAAACAAATCACCTGAAATAAAAAGACTCAGCACGCAAGAACGCGGTTAGTAAATCGAATGGAAGCGCATGCAGCACACCTACCAACGTTGCGTCGATTCTGCCTACGTTCTCTGCAGGACCCGTCGTCGTTTCGATGCTACTCCCGAGTGGCCTCGCTCGTGGCCCACTAGACCTGCCTGTCTCATACACTCGCAACCGCCTGTGCTACAGCACCATGCACTCGACGTCGTTAGAGTGCACATCATCGGCTCCTCTCGCTTCCGCACCTGCCGATCCTTCTCCGCATGCACGACGGCTTTCTCCTGCACCGCGGCAGCTGCCTTCTTGATCAGATCTCGCCATGCAGGCCGGTCAACTGCCTTCGATTCCCAACACCTGAAATCGATATTACGTGATAGACTCACCTTGATCATGTTCTGGTAAGGAAGCTTCGGTTTTCCCACATGCTGCTTCCCCACACTCAACTGACCATATAAGAGTTGTTTCGGTATC